CTTGTCTTCCAAACGAACATAGATCTGTTATTTTTCTTTTTATTTTATTCTGTTTTATTTTATTTATTTATTTATTTATTTATTTATTTTTTTTTTTTTTTAAATATTGCCGTACCTCATTACTGTGATACAGCTGATTCACATATGGTTTGTGCATATGCGATTGTGCTGTTGCTTTATCTGATTGGTTGGCCTGGTCTTGTTACAGTTTGTGATTGTTCTATTCGTCTCTTCTTGTTGTTGTTTTTTTTTTTTTTTTAATGTTATTACTGAGTATTATTGCGTATGGTTGAATTATTTGCCTTCATATTCTGATAATGATTAGTTCCAAACAGAAGAGAACCTTGTGTCCTTGGATGTTAATTAGAATATGCCTTGTTTAAAATGGCTGCTACTGTTGCTAGGTGTGTTCTAATGTATCTGTAAAATGTATCTGATGACCATCTTCTAATCTTTTGGATAAGTGTCGGTTGCACACCCTGTAATACTAGTTCTGTTGTTCTGCCTGCTCGAAAGCTATGCTCTGCTATGTCATTATTAGGCAGAAGAGCTTTGAGCTTATGTATAAACCACTTTTTTGTTACTGAGTTTTTTTTGCTTTTATAAATAGTGTCATTTTTCCTGGAGCATATTTTGGATCAGTTCTGTGAATGATATATTTCTTAAGTATATAGATAGGATATAATTCATCCTTGGTTGAGTTAATTATTAAAATAGAGCGTTCAGTTGTGTTATGGTTTTTGATTCTTAGTAGCTGAATTATTGCGAAGGGACCTTCTCTTGTTCTGTTAAACCTTAGCGCATGTATTACAGGCACTTTTGCTGTATCTACTTGAGATTAGGGTAATAGTTCATCTAGTCAAGCTAATCCATAGAATGCTACTAGTGCAATTGCTAGAAATAGCAAGTCTTCTGTATTGGATAGATCTAGTTTGGCTTTGATAGTTTGTAGTTGGTTTCTTGTTATATGTTCTTTTTGTTGTGTTGGTTTGAATATATGATTGTCTTCTATTGTTTTTAGCAGTTGTTTTATTAATGGATCATAGCGAGTATTGTTTATTCCATGTAGTTCATAGAATGATAATGTTTTAGTGTAGATAGATAGAATATAATAGTATGTAGTACGACTTTGGAATATAAATATGTAATGAATTTGGTGAGGTTTTCTTTTGAGACTAGCTATACTGATCTATCCAAGTTTATCCATCTGTGTTCTGTCACTAGTTTTTGATACTGTTTATTTATATTGTTATATGTTATATATCCTAGTGGTTGGATTCTGAGAATTGATACTGCCTGTTCATTTAGAAGTAGATATTTGTGTATTTTCTTGATCTCTTGTGCACTTCTATTGAATTAAAGATGAAATTAGGAGTATCAGGTTAGTAAATTGTGTTGGAATAGCAGATTGCAGATAGCGTGCTAGCAGGTTTTATGCTATATATTCTTTGTGGCCATTGCATGACAATAGATCTGCCTCAGTATTGTATTTGCCTGAGATGTGTTCTAGCTTTACAGAGAAGTTGTCTCGAATTTGTGCTATATATATATCTGCAATTATATCATTAATTATTATGTTCCTACAGAAACCTTAATAGAAGGCTTCTGTATTAGCCTTGTTATTTGTCTACATTATTAACCATTTTTGGTTCTATAATGGTGCAAATGTGAGTATAGTTATTAGATATGTCAGAAGCTCACGCATTTGAATATTGTTTGTTGTTAGGTCTATTGATATACTCCAGTTAAATACTGTAAAATATTGCTCATATATTGCACCACCACTAAGGTTGGATGCATCTGTAAAAAATTTTTGATATTTGGTTATAACCATGTTCTGTCTTCTAGGAAGTATATACCTGACCATTCTGGAAGGATTCTGGACTACTATTGTAGATCTGCTATCATTGAGTTTGTTATTTTTATGCAGAGTTTTGATTTTTTGGGTCTGCCTAATACTTTGATAAAGTGTCAAACATAGGGTCTGCCTTGTGGAATTGTTTGACATAGTCATATAAGTGAACCAGCTAGAGATTGTATCTCTTTTTTGTAAACTATTTTTTGTTACTCCATTCAGCAATTGTTTTTAGGATTTTTTTCCTTTTTTTTGTTTCAGGGATAGATGCAGAGAAATTAACTGTATCAATTTGAATGCCAAAAAAAGTTAGTACTGTGCATGGGCTTTTGAGTTTTGATAGTTTGTAAGGAACATTAAGTAAATCTAATATCTGTAAGAATTGGTGTAACTCCTGCTCTGTGTTTTTATTAAATATTATTAGGAAATTATCAACATAGTATATGATTGACTTGATTCTTTGTTTATCGCGATCTATGTGATTATATCAGTGAATCTGCAGAATATGCTATCAGATACCCTATTGCCAAATGCTAGTGCTTTATCAAAATAAAGCTTGTTGTTATATTGTAATCCTTGAAGTATTTGATCAACTGGATGTACAGATAGTATACGGTATGCATCTTTTATATCAATTTTGGATAGTAAACAGCCTTTTCTATATTGCACGATCTATCTTATTGCATGATTTATATTTTTGTACTTAGTTGCGAATTCACTACCATCAATACTATTATTTATACTTGCTGTAGCTAGAGCAGATAAATATGATATAACTCTGTAAACTTTTGGGTTTGTATTTTTCTTTTTTACCAAACTACATAGGTTTATTTGGAAAGCTGAGCATAGTAGATTGTCAATAGTAAAAAGTTCATATATATATTTCAAGCCAATTCATCTTCTATATACTTAGCTAGTATCATTAGTTCTATGTTTATAGATTTTAGATTTTCTTGTATCATTATTATTCATTTTCAGCAAATTTAAATCTAAAACTATTTTGTATACTATCTTTGAGATATTGAATGAATTGTTGATTTGAGTGGTCACGTGTTTGATAATTAAATGCGAATTTGTTAATTGGAGTTATAACATTAAAGTGAGTTGAATCTAATTGTGCTAAAATTGTTATTTCTTCTTGTAATAGCAAATTGCTTCTTGGTAGGATAGCTTCAATAGTTTGTTTGACAGATTATAAATTTGGTTCTAGATATGATGTAATAGCCTTCGATGCTTTAAACTATGTAGTGTACTTCATTGATTTCCATATGTTATTTGTCACTATTATTTTATATATTTACAAGATTATAACAGGGCACCACTAGTGCCCCAATTGTTTAGCTATAGTTTTTATTAGTTTTATGAATTGATGCAAGGAATATTGAATAAGTAATTTAATGTATATTTTGTGTAATATATTATAGTAAAGTAGTGTGATACAATTCGAGTTGATTTTTAATGCACGTTTGTAATCTGCAATAGGTTAGGCCACTAATTTCAATTACTATCTGAGTATTTTCAGACTGTTACGTATAACAGATGAACTATTAAATTTAAAAGTTGCTTTTTTGATATTAGGTAAACAAATATTTATATAAAAAACTAAAAACTTTTAATTTTAAAATTAAAATAACAAATATTGCATAAATATTTCTCTATTATAATTAAACAAAATAAACAATATATCGTTTTTAACCATACTAATTATTTAACACATTTTTAAATTTTTTTTTTTTTTTTTTTTTTATACTTAATTCGACCTTTTTTGAATTAAGGTAACTCAAAATGCTGAATAATCCTTTTTATCATATCATTTATTCGTGTATTTGTATTTTGTAGCGCTTATCATGAACAGTCGTGATTAATATTATAAAGAAAAATATTCGTGAAATATTATAAAGAAAAATATTCGTGAAATATTATAAAGAAAAATATTCGTAAAATTTTATTTTTGTTATATAATACTGATTTTTGAATTTATTTAACATGGTTTATAATGTTTACCTAATATTTTGACTGTTTGAATCAATAATTAAGGATGAAGTGATGCTGGAAATATCTTCTCTTCTATTTTCTTAATTCCATTTTATAAGTTTTTTTATATATCTAAATTTATATAATCTGCGAGGTATTTGAAGGATCTTTCATATTAAATTTTTTTTTTTATAAACTTTATTAAAATTTTAGAAGTCAATATGGTATTTAAACTTTTAATTTTCATACTTACGTTAGACAATAAAAAAAAATAAAATAAAAATTTATAAAATCGTAAAAAAATAAAAAATAACCAAATACGATCAAATAATTTTTCATACGTATACGTATTCACTTTAATTTCATAATGATAAGTATTTTCAAATTACCAGTGGTGATTGAAGTTAGTGGCTTAACTTGTTACGGATTACGGACGTGCATTTTTAATTTTACACTTATGACTTATTTTAAATTTAATTTGAGGTATATTATAGTTATTAAATATGTAATTAAGTAATTGATATTTTATAATTTTGTCAATAGTGTAAATAGAGTATATAAAGGATGGTAAAATGCAAATTGTCTAGATATAAGAAATTTATAAGAAAAGTAAAGTTCGATATAAGTTTTTTTTTGTATTATTTTATTGTAGGGGTAAAATTATAATAGGTGGTTTTGAGTATTATTTAGTTCTTGTTATTTATATAAAAAAAAAAAAATCATTTTTATTAGGATTCGATTATTTAAATACGTTAGTATTTATTTATTTAGTTAATTCTTTATAGACTATATTGATTGTTTTTGTATCTGTATTATTTTCTGAGAGTAGTATTAAGGCATGTTCTCTATTTTTCACTAGTGATATAGCTGTATATAGCTGTCCATAAGCAAATATGCGTATTCTAAGATCTATAACTATTAAATCTAATGTAAAACCTTGATAGCTATTGAAGGTCGTTAAATATGCAAGGCGCAATGGAAATTGTTTTCGATGTACAGTCCATGAACAATAATCTAGTTGAAAATAGAAATTTATTCTCAGGATAAGGTGGGTTTCCGATATGTTATCAAAGTTGTTATTTTTGAGAACTTTAATTTCGATTAGCCGTTGGTGTATATTAGTTATTATGACTCATGCATTTTTAACTAATCCTTTATCAATAGAAATGTTTCACATGATAGAGCATATAGCTCCAATTTTCAGATGAATTTCGTGATTAGGTATTCCGGAATATGTAAGTTGTGCTAGGTAATCCGGTGTAGCTGTTGGATGATCATTAACTATTTCATTATTTTCTTATACGCAGTCATAACTAAAGTATGTATAAGGTTCTCCAGATAATTTATTTAGGATCTTTTGGTTAAAATCGTCAACTAATATATTACGGGGACTTAAAAAGGCTCTTTTTTGTAACATTTCATGATTCGTAAATATATTTTCAAGATAAAGAAAAGATATTGCCATTTCAATGTTAGTAGTAGTTTTAAAAATATTTAATGAAATGTCTTGATCTTCATAATTTTCACTGATATTATCAATGAATTCTGCAAAAATTGGATCACTTGCATTGTGTATAAGTTGATTCAGAGTGTATATTTTAAAATATTTCCATAGGAACGAAGTTTTGATCGATGCATTGATTGTAGAGCTTTTACCAGCCCCTTTAACAACTGAAGCGACTTGTCTAAAATCTCCTATACCTATAAAGAATTTTCTTCCAAATGGTTCGTCATTATCACAAATTTGACAGAGTAGTTAGTTGACATATTCTAACATGGCTTTGTTTGCTATAGGGAGTTCATCCCAAATAATTATAATTGCTACTTTGATTAATTCCGCATGAGTACTATTGAGTTTGATGCTTGATTGAATGTTTATGTTATTTTCTTCTACAGGTATTCGGAATAGTGAATGCGCTATACGTCTATCTTCATAGAGAAGAGTAGCTAAAGCTGTGGTTCCACATAACAGAATTATTTCTTTCATTGCGCGAATTGCATAACATATAGCATTGATTAAAAAAGTTTTACCGCGACCTGCCTTTCCATCTAAAAATATAGGAAATTCATTTTTCAGGATTGATTTATTTTCTTTTTTCAAAGTTACACATTCTATTACTTTTTTGTAAAATATTATTTGTTCTAAGGTCATTTTATCACAAAGTTCATTTGTAAGTTATCTATATCTGGTATAGTCTGAGTAATGTCTGTATTCAGCAATTAGTTCTCGAATCCATGTCTGAGGTTCAGGAAGCCCATAATCATGCATGTGTTTCCTATGTTCTGCAAGCATTGAGGCTATTTGTTGAAGTGTTAAATTGATAGTGGTAGAATCAGCATTTTGTAAATTTTCTCGATTGTCAGCTGAGTAATTCTTTTCAAACCATTTCTATAGTTCGAGTGCAGGTGTTCCATCTAATATTAATTGAACAAATAAAAATCACAATTGTGCTAGTGTATGAAAATTTTCAATAGCTTCTTTCATTGTTAGAATGTCTTCATTTTCATTTGTGAATAATCCCATTTCTCATGCCGCTTCTTGATAGGTGTTATAATTATTTCCATTAATCACTTTGAGCTCTTCCTATGTTCGAGCAGCCTGATACATTAGAATAGTTCTTAAATAAAAAACTTCACCAACTCCTGGTGCAACTAAAATGATTCTAGTGATTTTTTTTGTAGTGCATTTTCTTACAATTTTTTTTAATACTTCTGGATATTCTTGTTCTATAAAATCATTATCACGTATTTTATTTTGTTTAAAGAGATACAGTATATAATTTTCATAATATTCAGTATATTTAAGTTTATTAAAAGATGAATCAAGTGGGCGAAAAAAAAGCGATTTAGCAGTGAGATAGATGATAATTTATTTTGTAAATGTGAATACTAGGGTATATTAGTATTAAGAAGGTGAATGGGAAGAATTTGAACTGACGGATCTGATGTAGTTATGGGGTAATGGAATATTCTCTAAGCAGCTTTTGGTGCAGATAAATATCTTCTATTGATGTAATCTTTGAAATTGTTTATAAATTGTTGTTTCGTTGATAAATTATTTTCATTTAGAGTTGAATTCGCATTATTTGTTGTTTCATAATCTTGTGAGTTAGAATTTTTTGTAGTTACAATATTTATATTATATTTTACATAATCAGGACCTTAAATAAATATTTGTATAGATATACAAATAAATGAACTGTGAATGCGATTTCAAAATTGATATGACATTCTAACTTTAAAATTAACAATGGGTTGTAGGGTACGACCCATGCATCTTTTTGTATTCGATAACGATACTGTACAAAACCCTTTTCATCAATATATGTTTCCAAAATTATGGGTTTTGGGTATCCATATATACATTTGTTATTACGAAGACATTGAGATGAATGTTGAGATTTATATATCATATATTTTTCAACCAATTCTTTCAACTGTGAATTATTATTCAGTAGTTCTACTGATATAATTTTATCTATTTGATTTATAGAAAGCTCTGGATGTACACGCACTACAACATGGGCATGTAGAAATCCATATTTTTGGAATTCAATAACATCAACAATATAAATGATCTGGCCAAAATAGGTCTTCAATAATTCTTTCAATTTTTCAAACCGTGAATGAAATGCACAAACAATTATTGGAGCAATTTCTAAAGCATTTTGACTAGGTCGTAATTGTGACTTGATTTCTTCCCAATTTGGATTGGTAGTCATTGTTATAAAAAAGCTTGGTTTTCCCCAGCAGCGAGCTAGAGCCAGAGCATTTGCAACGCGTAAAGAGCACCACCTTTTTGATCCTAGAAAGAATGCAGGAAGATGCAGATTGCCTTCTTCATTTTCAGTGGCCTCATCTTCATAATCTTCAAATATTATATTAGTTGTTTCTTGTGTTGCTTTCTTTTTATAAAGTTATTTTTTAATTTAATATATAATTCAACTGTTCTTCTTCTATACATGAATACATATCGACCAAATACTCTGAGGTTAGTCTTCCAAATATTAGAAATCGTTCTTCATTTAATATTCGACATCAGTACCAATTAATTTGTGATAAATTATAATTATTTTTAGCATGCCATCCTGGTATACCATGCAAAAAGAGTAATGGATATTGCAGTGGTTCATATTGTGTACTAAGTATGTTGATGAATTTAGGCATAGTATCTTCGCGGCGCCAAATAGTGATGCTACGTGGATAAATATTTACTGCATTATTTGCATATATAATAGTAGCTACTTCCCCTATAGATGTATTTTCAAGTAATTTGAGTATCGCATTAGAAGAGGATTCATTCTGGAATCTCTGTAGTGAGTGCACATAAGGATTAATTTGGTTTAATATAGTTCAAATAGTTGTAATCCAATCATCTAGAATTTTACGATATTGAGCTACTGTGTATCATTCTTGTTCATCATAAATGAACCAATGCATTGAATTATTAGGTGTATCTATTAGTAAAATGCGATGATAAGTACATCTAGTAATACAAACTGAAGATAGCACTGGGAGGTTTACGAATTGTCCTTGTGCGCCTATTGCTATGAATGAAAAAAGTGCATTAAGTTTTCGTGAAAGAGTGCTAATATTAGAGTTCTTCGTAATATTGTTAATACTTGTTGGATAAGGTAGTAAGCGTGGTATAATACGCTTTCCATGATTACAGCAAAAATCTAAAAGTTCTCCCGTAAGTAACATAGTTAAGCAATAGCGACATTTACGATCCCATGTAAAAATAAGTGATGTTAAAGTAGTTTCATTTAAAGTGTATTGAATGTCCCACCAAAATATATTTTCAGTTTGCTGGGATGAAAACATGTGTGCATTATTATTATTTTGATTCGTATTTACAGTGATTTGGTTTTGTTCAACTCTTTTCTTTTTTGTATGATACTGATGCATATAATCAGTATTCCATTGTTTGGAGTGAAGTTTTTGTTTTGTTATTGTAAATTTTATTATTATTTATTAATAGTTGTATGCTAATCTGTTTTTTTTTTTAGAGTTTATAGTTTAATCTCATTTATTTAATTTAAATATATAAATTACTAATTTAACAGAAAAACTTGCAAGTTTAGCTAATACGATGAGATTTTTATATCGATACAGGTTAAAAAGTTTGCACACTGTTTCTTATACTTTTTAGGTATCGTATTTATGAATAAACTTTCAAAAGTTTCATATTTATAATACAGTGAAGAAATATCATATATTTATGATTTTATATAGTTTGTTACGCAATTTTTCGTAATTCAAGAGAAAATACGTTCATACTTGACATAAGTTTAAAGTTATTAGTTGATATTTATTGTTATATATATAATATTAATACGTACAATATAACTAATCATAATTAATAATGATTATTATATTGCATAATAATAAAGGAGTAATATAAAGTAATTTGTTATGTAATTTTTTCTGCGAATTGAAAAGAGAAGTTTAATGACTTTGTTAAATTATTTATATCGATATAATATTTTTTTTTATTTATTTATTTATTTTTTTTTGATTGATTACTAATTTTTTAAAAAAAATCATTTATACTTCCTGCATTTATATATCAGATGCATGAATTTAAGGAAATTTATTATATGCATTTAATGTTAACCTGACATAACTTGACGTAACTGAATATAATTATTTTAATCATCAATATAATAATAAAAAAGCAATATCGATATAAAGTGTAATAATTAAATGTTCAATCATTTTTTGAATAACTCTGAATTCAATGGTATAATTCAATCTATATTGTTAAACGTAATATTTTGATAATGGGCATTGTTCTACTGACAAAATTTGTTTAATAGTGCTGGTAAGTAGTATTAATTTCTCATTCGTAATAATATTATAAAAATTTTTTAGTTAGCATTTTTATTTTTGTAACAGTGATTAAAATTACTTTTGATTAAGTAATATTTATATTCTCATATAATAATTCTACTATAATATTGCATTTAATCATTTTTTAATATATATTAATTTTTACTTATATATGGGCTTAGTGCTACAGAAAAGGGGGAAATCAACAAATTTTTAAAACTTATTTTTTTTGCATAAATCAATTTAAAATAAGATCATAATTATTTTTCACTTAAAGCATAAAAGTAGTTGTCTTAATAAAATCTTGTACAATAGCTTTTTGAAATTTGTATTTTCTTATGATTTATTATAAAATTTATAACATAAAAATTGATTTTCCGAAGATCTTTTTTTTTGTCAATTTCCCCCTTTTCTGTAGCACCAAGCCCATATACATTAAGCAAAATAGATAATTGTTAAATTGTTATTTGAAGTAATAAAGTAATATAGTAAAATATAAGATAGATAAAGAAGATTATTCAATCAATCTTATTCTGTTTCTCAATAAATCTTAATCATTTTTATTATTTGTAGCATTTGCTGAATCTTGAGATCTCAAAGCACTTCTTAAAGATTGAGTTACTCATTCTTTACCTTTTTCATAATCATTTGAGGTATTTTTTTGACATTTTTCATTTGTTATTTCTTTATATTTTTCCTGATCATAATCAGCCAAATCGTTTTTTTCATTAAATTCTTGATTTGTTTGTTCTATACTAATATTTTCTACTCGGACATGTTTCAATAATTGAGAATTAGTTGATGATGTTGATCTAGAGCTATCATGAAAATTATCTGAATTTACCAAAGGTAAACCTTTATTTTCAAATTTTTCATTTGTATTCTTCAAAACATTTTGATGAGTAACAAAAAGTTTGGAGTGAATAGAATTTTTTGGTGTTGAAGTAATTTGAGTTGTCGTATTATCGAAATATCTTTTCTTGCTTTCAAAACATGTATCTACAAAATTAATATCAGTAGCATATACATAAAATTCATTGTTAAAAATTTCCATCTGTTCGGCAACAAAAATCAATGATTCATGAGGACAAACAGTATTTTTCAAATACGCAAAGCATGGATTAAGGTACAGAAAAGTTGTTTTCACAATAAAATTACATTCTTCACCAAAAATATAATCAGTTATAAATGTTTGAATAATGGCATTTTCACTGTTTTTAACTTCTTGTAGCATTTCTTGGGGAATCCCAATTAAAGCTACCTTTAAGGGACATTTATTCGAAGCACTAATTTTATCAAAGATCATTAAATGCATTGAGATTGAAACTGCTATCTAAAATTTTAATATTTAGATATATTAATATTTAGGTATATTAATAATTTACAAACTTTAATTAAATATTCGATAGAATACCTTTACTTTTTTATCTTTTCCATAATTGTTGGGTATAATTTTATCTCCAATATAATAAAATTTATCTTTCTCGAAGACTGCTTGAGTTTCCGGATCTCTTTCATGTATGTTAGCTGGTATAAATAGAATCATTTCAATTTCGTAATCTTCTCATTCCACTGAATAACAACCGATAGCCCATATTCTCATAAAATTAGCATCTTCCTTTCTATACTTTTTTACATATTTAATTTTTACAACAGTACTTGCATAGCATGGCATTATTTTGTTTGTTTCTTTTTTTATCATTAGTAAGTTTTAATTTTTTTTAAAAAAATTAAATAAATAGTAAATAAAAAAAACGATTTGTCTCAAATTTCTCAATTTATATATAATTTAAATTTGTTTCGTCACATATATCAAGGCATACAATTATCTTATACTTACATATATTTACATAATAGAATATAATCAATATTATTTAATAAATTATTACTAATCAAACAATTTCTTTCCCTTTTTTCTTACTAATCATTTAACTATCTATTAGAACATTCTTGCATAATACAGTTCTATTTAAAGTTAATAAATTATAATTCGTATATGTATTTGTTTTTAAAATTTACTTGATTATAGATATTTTTAATATTAGAATCTACTTATTTATCAAACAAAAAATATTTACTTATTTATATTAAATTCCACACAAACATAAAAAAAAAATTAATTTACATTTTTGTTATTAACCTGTTAATATATAATTAGGACTAATTTAATAATCTTCTGCGATTTTAATAATATGCTCGTGAGATTCTAAATATATTATTCTAAAATTATCTAATCCTCATAAATACATCATCATTAAATGATAGAAAATATTATCACAATCATATATTATAGCATTCAAGTAGTTCACATGAAAATTACAATTAATGATGAATAGTGATAATAATTATTCTCACAATGTGCAATCTTCAGAAAAAAAAACTTTCAATTTTTCAAATACCGTGTGTAACTAAAAAAACTAATTCGCAACTTTAAAATACTATGCTCAACTGTTTTATGATTTATCTAATTTATAAAAAATCAATCCGTTTATAATTTACAACTTTAAAATACTGTGCTCAACTGTTTTATGATTTATCTAATTTATAAAAAATCAATCTGTTTATAATTTAAAATATTCACTATTGTTTATTTGAGCTATTAAAATATAATATAATTTAACATTTTATACATTTTATAAATGATGTTTTAATGATGTAAAATTATCCAATTTAGTGTGATTTGGTTTAATCATACTTAATCACATAATTTCCATATCTCTACTTTTCATCAATATGTATTTCAAATACAACCAATCAAATCTGATAAAGGTTACATCAGCATGACCACACATTATTTTATAATATTTAGATAGATATATTTATATTAGTAGAGCTTTTATTATTATTAATGTGTTTTGTATTAATGCCTTTGTTTATTTAAATTTATTTATTAAACTGCCAATGCTATTTAATTTCGATTTTATTTATTTTGGATTTATATATTTAATTAATTGATAGATTTTTTTTTTTTTTTTTTTTTACTATTGTTAATACTGTCATTCGATTGTTGGAGTATGGTTGTTTCTATTTTTTGAATTTTTTCAAAAGCAAGTTTTTTTACTATGACTAGTCTTTTTGCATATAATATAGGCATGGATTCAGCTACAATTCTTATCTTCAAGACATGACTAATGATTCCAATTTAAACAAATCTCTTTGCCATCTTGCCAATATATATTTACCAAATTAGGGCGATGCCAGCTGCTATCTTTTGCTTTTCATGTTGTTGTCACATTAAAATTTTTGCTTTCAGCTTTTTATTTCTGTTTAGAAGTATGGAATCACGATCTATTACTAGTGCTACTCTACAATCCTCGTCATATTCCATTACAGCTATAAATTCATATTTAATACATAATTCATTTATATGATCTTTATATGTGTTTAATTCTTGTTCACAATTTTCATATAGCATTAATACAGCATCCATATTTGCTTTGAATACTAATAACTATTCAGATATATTACCAAAGGTTGTATTGTGTTTTCGTTTCTTTATAGAGATCATTCTACCTTCTAGAGTCTCTAAGATAGTATTGTCATTTATTTCTTTTGTACTATTGATCAGGTTTTTATGCATAAATTCATGAAGGTTTAAAAATAAACCAAATGCTAGTGCCTTCTATAGTTTGTAAGTTAAGGTTGGTTTTTGTAGGATCATTTCAATTATTTCTGTCCTTCCTTCTAATTCATAACCCACCATAACAGAATTCGTTCTGTCTCTGCTGCTTTTGGGTTTAAAAAATCTTGAACCATTGGCATATTTTGTAGCAATACTATAATTTCTCCGTAATTTTTCTTTTTCATTATTTTTCTAAGTCTTTTCTTAATAACGTACTAATTACTATAATTAATTTAGCTATATTTAGCTTATCAGCTTATCAAATATAATAAGGATTAATTTAGCAAATATA